AGCATCCAGTCATTGTCCTGGGTCATTTATTGCTGATTGCCTGGGCGTATGCTGCTTTTTTGAATGTTGCCCTATAGGTTCAGACTGCCTTCTATATTTAACTGTAGTTTCTACCTCTTTAGACAGACACAAGTGCAGGTAGACTCGTTTTTATTATAATGTCTTAAATACTGCTTGCACTCTTCAGAAAGCAATCGCATCGACTGAGGAGACTGTGAGGTTAATAAGAAGATTTTACTGACATTTTACAGATCTGTAGCGTTGCATACCATTTTGGTGACTAAGTGATATTAGTATTGATAGCAAGGCTGTCACTTTTAGACATGCATTGCACCTCTTGGTGTAGGTCTGCTTTACTGGATTCTGCATTGTGGGTTTTTTGCCTGTGTGCAATCGCTATCTATGCATAGTGTTTATGTATATGCGTTAAAGAGGAAATGAAACAGCAAGAACGGCTTTTCAGATGATCATATAGCATTTTTCTAGTCCTTTCCTTTGCCAGTTTACCTTGCCACCTGACCTATTTCCACCAAGTAACCCTGCAGTCCGGAGTTATGTGACAATTAATACTAATTCCAAGTATTAAGCAGTATGAGTCAGCCCCTAGCCCATATCACACAGCAAATCAGCATTATGTCTGGGTGCTGACTTTAACTAGAGTAAGGACAGTTTGGATCCAGGGTTTGAGGATAAGTTCTCCTTGGAGTAGGAATGAATTTGCTCTATCTTCCCATATTCCAAGAGGGACTGTCGTCAGTGTTCGAGCTGGAATAGCTTTTGGTGAAATTACATTGGATGCTTTATAACCTTCGCTGGGTAAATTTGCTTATCAACACTGACAAGCCAGAGAAGGAGGAATACTCTTTCTACTGCCATTAGTTACATTAGTTCATACCAAAGAGAAGTCTTTGAGGAACTCCAGAAGTCAGCATTTGCTTAAAGGTGAAGTAACTGAACAGAATAAACACAGAACTCTTTCTACTGCCATTAGTTACAAATAGTTCATACCAAAGGGAAGTCTATGAGGAACTCCAGAACTCAGCATTTGCTTAAAGCTGAAGTAACTGAACAGAATAAACACAGACTGCATCATAATGCCAGAATCTTTTCAGTGTATCTGCAGTCCCACAGGAGGCTTGTCCTATCCACATAGTAATAGATACTAGCCAAAGATATGAGCTACACTGCAAGTAGCAGCCAAAGCCAGCCCACTAGAGCCCCTCAGGACTCTCTGCATTACCCTTCTTTTACAGGAGTGATGACATGATGGAGGCTGCATGCCCATATCACTCTAAAGGCTTTGGATGTCTGCCTAAGAAATCAAGATTCGTATGCAACCTTTTGTGTGTATTCAGAGAAAAGAACAAAACTCTGGCATCCAGAAGTATGTGATTTTCTCTCCTATCTTAGTATGAATCAGTTTAAAAGGGGATAAAAAGTGCAGCAGATAGAGATGGAAAGCTGGTTTCCAAGGTAACAATGCTTAAACCATTTTGTACTAAAAACGATATCTGCACCACATACTTCTTTCTGATTACTCTAGGAAGTTGAGCTGCTTAAACATCTGGGTGTAGCTGTCTAACACCTGCAGAACCCCCAGAGCACCAACTGATGAATAATGACCATACTGGCCATGCAACCCCCATTTTTTTAGAGTATACAGAGATAACAACCATTACATCACCTATTCGAGTGATTCAGACCACACTGTTACATCAGCACCAAACATAAAATTTTCTTAGAGTAACCCAAATGAGTTGCTGGGAGACCAGCATGCAAAAGGCCACTTTAAGGACACTAGGGAGACACTGTGCAAAACCCCAAGAGTGGCGGAAAACTAAATAGGTGATAGAGACTGATGTAATGCTGGTGCATGGTTCATGATGTACCTCACTGGCCATTAATCAAACATGCTCACAGAAGAAAAAAAAGTGTATGCATAACCATTTACAAATTTACTTTTAGAAAATAAAACCGTCTTAACCAAGAGTTGACACAGGAGGCAAGTGAGACCCAGCAACCAAACGCCTGAGGAAGATGATACACTTGAATAGTATTTTCCTCCCAATGCAGTGTCCCAGCTATAAGCATGGCTATTCCAGCTTGTCCAAGGGAAATCTAAAACCAAAATAGTTCACAGCCCTGAATCAAGCAGAATCTCCCAAATAAGTGAAGTAATAGCAAGACTATTTGTGGTTCTGAGCTGGAGCTCTCTGACCATAAGTTTTCCCTAAACTTGAGAAATTTTCCCAACAACAACACTGCATAAAAATTCCAGACTAGCTCCTCTCCTTCTCTACCAGAATTACGATAGTTCTGTGTGGTTTGGGGTCTCTGTGGTAAATAATTTTGTTTGGGGTCTTAACATCCACGGTAAAAGCACTTGTAGGAAACAGTTATCCAGATTGGTGGCACAAGCCCTACCCTCTCAGGTTACTAACGTGAAATCTATTATTTGAGGCTCTTTTTTTTGATGCAATGTGGTTGTGGAAAACTCTTTAAAAATCCAGATTCATCATCTACCAACTCGCAGAGGAATGTCCTTTAGTTACAACAAAAGTAAAAGGAAGAAAACATGTCAAGTAACCCAGTGCAAACAACAAGTGCCTCATTGTCTCATGTTTTGTGTCTAAATTGCTTTTGGGGAAGAAAAATATACATTTCCACACATTCTTTAACCCAAACCCAGCTAACCCAGGCTCAGTGCTTCTTAAACCATTCCTCACTGATACCTGTCTGATCACTGACAGTGAAAGCATTTATACTAAATTTATTTCAGAACTAAACTGAAAGAGTAAAATACAAAATATCTGTCACTACTGATTTCCCTATCTAAAGTTCAGATTGACTTGAGATAACCTTTATTAAATGCAAGCCAATGTCATTGCTACACCCATAGTTCCCTACATTTCCTACTGAAAATGGTACAACTTTTCCTCAGCTCTGCAAAGAAGTAAAGCTATAAGAGGTGCAGGAAAAGGTTCTTGATATGGTTTCCATTTCCTCCCTGCCCCCCCCTTCAAAAGTTCTGCAGGAAACTGTGAGTGTTCTGGGGACATAAAAGGGATCTATGTCCTTGGTGTCTGTCTATGACCTTGAATAAGGCACTTGGGGCTGTGCTCAAAATGTTTTTTATAGATGCCTACCTAGGTGCTCCTCTAGCTCTTGCTTACACAGAGAGTTGGGGTCTGCATCTGGAGCAGCGGGCAGTCTAATCACTCCTGGCTTTCTTAGTATCAGAGACCACGTTAGTCACGATGCCAACAGCAGGAACCACAGGAAAAAGTAGAAATAAAGCTCCTAGGTTCTCAAATATCTTGATTCTCCATCTGTGAAGTGGGAAAAATAATGCCCTCCAGTGTCCCATGGTTGTGTAACAAGCATAACTATGTTAATACTTACAAGGTGCTTGTCTGTTGTAGTATCATGGAACTTAATGAGGTAGAACTTCCTCAGAGCCAGCTACAATGCATCGTATTAATAAATCTGCTCACATGCATAGGAAAATAACCTTGAGCTAAATGTGGGACTCCCTAAGAAAGATATAAGAGCTCTTTTAACTCAAATTAATTGTGTAACTCTGACCTTTGCAATAACCTTCCCTTGGGCACCCAGCATCTGCAAGTGTGGTGAGAACATAGTCTTGTGCATCCATTTTTTCAAACTTTTGTCATCTTATGCTCCTCTTCAGAGAGAGGAGTGATAATAGCTGCCTTCACACTCGACAGAAACTTAAGATGTAACATGACCTGAAACAAAGGCAAACACTCAGCGAGGTCTGGAGGCAGAGCATGGACTCCAGGAGGAGGTTGCGAGTCCTGGCAGAAGAGACATTGTTTGTTTCCTACCCCATTCAAGGAAACAGGTCTGTGCTCCGAGTCTTGGAACGTTCTGTGTGTGCATTCCCAGTAAACAGGACTGCCGTAAAGAAATCCTGCTCTGTCCTCAGCACTTCCTCTTGAGCACACACAGAACTCCGTTTTGGAGGAGTGGCCAGGTCAAGAGAGGTATCAATCTTAAGATTTATATAGTGTTAACTTTGGCAGTGAGTTACACTAGCTTAATAAAGCAGCCTACAGGGAGAAAAACAACCTCCTACTCCCCCTCGTTACAAAGTTAACCCTAGATATGACTATAAGTTTAAATAAAGTAAAATACAGGAGTGATCACATGCCTGTTCTGCCCTTGCTTTTATGCCCTTCACAGCTAGCAATATTCCAAGTAGCAGCACAAAAGAGGAATTCTGTTCAACAATCCATATATCAGTGTATTTTCCAAAAAAGAAGCTGTTTCCATCTATCTCACCCCAAACCTGTCAGCACAGGAGAGTGAGGTGATTTCAATAGTTTTGCACCTCTCTGACTTCACATTCCTTCTGGGAGCACAACAGCCAAATAACCTGGCGGTGAGATGAAGCAGATTCCAAAAAGCTAGAGGAAACTTAGCAGAAGCTGCAGCAATAGCTTGTGCCGCTTGCACACTCAGAGTCCTTAGCCCTCAGTCTGCCTCTGTAATGCAACCTCTCCTCCCCCTGCTGCTCAGGAGCTTTTGCTTGAAGCTTGGAATTGCACACAGCTGAGCTCAGAAGTTGGGGCATGGCTCTGGGAACACTGAGCAGCTGGAGGTCGGAAGCTTCTGCAGAGCTGGGAGCTGACACATATTCTGGGAGCCTCCTGCATTCAAAACCCTTCATCTCTGCTAAGGACAGAGCAGCCTCAGCTTGAAGACCCTGACTCCTGCTTTGGCATTCGGCTGCTGTTAACAGAGCCCAGCAGAGCTCCTTGTATCCAGAGGGGAAAGGAGAAAGTTTTTTGAGACAGCAGGATACTTCTTGAAACTGATACTGGAAGAAGGCAGTCTCTTCACTCCTTTGCATTTGGGGACTGGCTTTTGGGACAGAGGAGTTGCCCAACCTCGTTATGAGACTTTTCCACACTTGCCAAAGAAAGCTCTTGAGATTCCAACCGCGCACCCCAGAGTCCAGGATAGTGTAGCCCAGAGCATCGCCCCAGCAGCACGCCCTGAGTGCAGTCCATCCAGGAGGCACTGCACATGGAGAATGAGGTTGGCAAATCTGTGGACAATCAAATGGATAAATACATGTAATAATTTGGAAGTTTTCTTTGTCTTTGCTTTTATTCTGCTTCCTTTTTCTCCCTGATTTGTTATGCATTTACCCCTGTATGGATTTAGCTATGCTGTTAATTATTTCTCACCTTCTTCCCCTCATTTTAGAGTTACAATAATGGGGAAATCTGAAAGTCAAATGGATATTGTGGAAAAATCAACAAAATCTGGAAAGCAATCCTGGAGCTTTGTGGCAATCGGTCTGGCTGTCTTGCTGCTCGTTATGACTTGTGCAGCGGTCGCCCTGGTGATCCTGTATGCCAGCAGCAGAGGTAAGAACCTGCGAGTGATTCCCCTTCTCCCCCTGCAAACAACATCCAAGGCTTTCTGCAGAGCTGAATTAAGACTACGGGAAGAAGGTGACCGCCTATGTGAGGGCTTTGCTATCTCTGCCTTGTTAAAACTCATGTACAGAAATGATTTTGTTGGGTTTGATTTCATTACTAAGTTGTGTAATGCAGCAGGTGAGGGGGGCAGGATTTCTATGCATTTTGTTGAATCTAGAGCTGCTTTGACAAAGATATATATATATATATATATATATATATATATATATATAAATTGCACTGACCGGGCAGTGTGTAGGGGTGTGTGTGTGTGTGTAAGGCTTGAGATTTCCATATTTTGTAGAAGCCTCAGTTTAATTACAGCCAGAAGTTATAAAGCAGCAACTGCTTAGCAGATCTGCATAGGAGATTGCTTATCACAATGTGAAAGCCTTTTTTAAAATGCCAGTGAGCTACTGGAGAGAGAAATACCCTTCTCTGTGTTACATGGGGCTCTTTCATCTCCAGGTGACATGTGGTTCACTGACTTTCATGTGAATGTCTTGCCAGGGAGCTGATAACAAGGCAATTTCTTCCAGGTATTTCACCTAAATATATTAACTGCAGAGTTTACTCCAAATTAGCATTTTCAGTAGCATGTCAAATGCAAAGTCCTTTTTATTTTTTTTTCCTGAAGCAATAAACAGAACAGGTAGCAGTTCTTTGCCTCATGCTAGTGATTTCCATGAATGTCTCTTGGTTTCAAAGCTTTGTTGAAATACTACAGAATAGAATTAATGTATTTGAATAGCGAAACTAAAGCAAGGCACTGCTCTCTTCTACATTGTCTCTGCATCCCCTGCCTGCAGTGAATTGCTTTCTTCAGCACTTGTAAGTGCCCCAGTAGTGCACATTTCCAAGTAACAATTCATGAGAAAAGCCTCTTTGTTTCTCCTCATGTTCTACCAGCAAGTGAATGTTACCAGTATTTGTACCTGTGCCAGAAGAAATCTTTGAATATTCAGATATTCACAATAGTTCAGGTATTTGCAATACTAAGCACAAAATTCCTCATATTTATTCTATTACCCCAGGAGGCAGGAGAAAAAGTCCCCAGAATTAGGTCCTAGAGTAGGAATTCCTCTATCAAAATACTGGGCTGTGCTGACTTCCATTGCTTATGTCTTTCTTGCTTGACTCCTTAATTCATTTTCTACCTCCCGAGGCTGTACAGTTTCTCACAGACAGCAGTACTTTGTGCTCCACAGGTTGTGCAGGTTGTCACTATTCACAGAGCCTGTCCTAGAGCTGGAGGGCCTGCCCATGCACCCAGACCCTGCCCTGTTAGCAGTGTGTGGACAGGGAAGAGCAATGCAAGCGCTGCCTGAAGAGCCTGTGTCCCTGGGAGCATCTCCTGCTGGGAGCGGACCTCACAAAGTCCCCTTGTGCCCCTGTAGCTCCCGTGCTGTGGGTGGAATAACTGTGTCCAGGTGGGAAACCAATGGAAGTTAGAGGAAGCACAGGGCTTCAGAAGGGGGCAGATATTTGCGGTACTGATCCTCGCCTCAAATTCTTATTCTGTCTCTTTTAGCCATACTTACTGATAGACTGTAGGTGATAAATCCTAAGAGAGGATGAAGAAAAAAGAAAGCCTTTGGTTGTCAAGTCAGCCTGAAGAGAAAGTCCTCTCAGAGAAAAAGCAGCTAAATTCAGCAATTACATGATTTGCTGCAATTCTCTGCTCTAATAGCAGCACGGGCAGGCTGCAATGTTGACAGCACTTCCTCTGCAGCTGAGAACGGAGTGAGAAGCTGATGAAGTGCTGAAAGGTGAAGCTCACACTTGCCTGCTTGATGACAACTGTGGATCTAATCGTCCCAATGTGTGCCATCCCCAGCCATCTGTAATCTTCAGAAAGCACGGGGGCAAAATACTAAACACCATGCAGTTCAGAGACTCTATAGCGTGATTTGCCTGGGCGTCTTTGTCTTTAAAAAAGCTGAGAAAAGCAGTAATGGACTTGTATGTTAAAAAGGCTTTCAAAAGATGAACTGCTAAAGAAAGGTGGAAAAATGGAAAGATTAATTTTAAGACAGAAAAAATGTTACTAGATGTTGGATCCTGAAATGGTACAGCAGCAGTCTGTGCCCCGAGTGTGTAGGCTCCCTCGTGGACCATAAACCTGGCATCCCTCCCGCATACAGGCCTCTGTGGTGGAGCTGGTATTTACTGAGACTGCCAAGTGAGATCCTCAGAAGACACCTCTCGCTGTTTTCAGGCCCTCCTGGAGGGAGGCTAGGAGTACTGGAAGGAAGGGCAGTGACAGGGGGTAGTTGCCTGTGCATTAAGGTTTGATGTGAGAAGAGACAAGTCTTGATTCCCCACAAACTCTTCCACCCAGGTGTTTGCTTCCTGAGTACCAGGGTATTCAGAACTGAACAAACTGAACTGATTTTTCCCCTGGTATAGATTGATATTTTTATGATTTACATTAGTGTCAAATATGCCTCACTGTTACTATGTTATGCTCGTAAGTTTCACATCACACCCATCTAAATCCTGATAGATATTTTAAAATATATATTTATATATTAAAATATTTTTTATTTCTGTTTCTAGTTATTGGAGATTCAAGAGGTGCAGTTACAAAGCTCCAGGCAGTGAGCAAAGTCCCGATAAATACATTGTGAAGCAGAACAGGCAGTGTTGGTCATATCTCATACAGAGTCAGGTTGGCTTTGTTCTTTGTCAGGAATGGTACTGAGGCATAAAAGAGATAATTGATAGAAAAACAAAGAAGCCGCTTTTCAAAGTAAACCGAGCCCCTCACCAGCCATTTTTAATTATCTGTTTTTGTGGCACAGTTTCAGAGCTCTGTATGTGCAACCAAGGTTTCAGAACAGATTTGGCTTCCGTGCTCATGCAGCTCAATTACATTTTCTCAGTCACAAAGGCTTTTTGAACGAGGGCAGTTAGAATCTTATTGATAGCACTGGGGGTCCAGAAACAGGTTATACATTTTCAGGGTATGTTAAAGGGAGAAGCTTTGATTTAAAAAGCTTCAGAGAAGTTCTCTCTGGTGCTTCAGCAAGGGTGGAAGAAATGTGGCATTATTTTTGCAGTTAACTCCTTTTTGCCCCCTACTATTTCCCCATTATGGAAAATTTCAAAATGGATTTGAACTACTCTCTCCTTTTCCCCAAAAGGGGATTTCTTCCTTTGGAAATATCCTGCACTTCTAATTCTTTTCTTTTCTTTTCTTTTTTTTTTCTTTTTTTTTGTTAGAGAATTAAGGGAAAAAATTGCCAAAAATTTGCCTTTGTTTCATCTATACAAAAGCACAAAACTTCTGTATGTGAAACTTTGAGATATTGCAAATCTTTTACTCATCCTGAGTTGAGATTGCTAGTGTTATTCTAATGCAGATCTACCCTCACACAACACAACAGCACTGAATTGAAGCCTGAATGTTACATTCCCAATCACAGTGGGGGCTTTTTATGTTGTTTCCACTGAAGAACTTCAAAGCCCTCCTTTCTCCCCTACTGTTTTTTCTTTTTTTTTTTCTGTGTGAATTACTGTCATCTTGTTTGCTCTCGTGTAAAACATTTGTTTTCATTGCAAGGATTTTTTTTTGAGTAACTTTTTTGCAAGCATTTTAGTGTAAGGATATTAAAAAAAAGTTTAGAAACATGCTGATCCTATTGGAGGGTGATGGTGGAAGAGTTTTTCTGTTGTAGACAGACGTAGTGTTCTATCTAACATAATAGAAGTAGATATTGAACTATTTCACTTTCAAAGATTTCACCTTTTTTTTTTTTTTTGCTTCAGTTTGATTTTTGTGCCCTAAGGCCAGTATGAAATCAATAATCCAGCTATGAGCTTTTCTACCCTGTTTAAAACTCTCTGTCACTGTGGCTCTGAAGGTAAAGAAAAAGCTCAGATGCTTAAAGCATCTTAGTATATTGTATAAAAGTTGACATGATACGTTCAATATGTGTCAGAGAGCCTATGGAGACCGGAAAACAAGCTGGTGTATCCTCCTCCCAGGTGAAGTGAAGCTCACTGTCAGTACTGCTTTCACAGAAAATTTCCTCATAACTCTGAAAATAAATAATGTCTTCACAATTGTCACTGGATCTTTTACTGGCAGTAACATTGATTTGCTCTAAAATTGAACAGACCTCTCACTAATGTTGGTGTTTGGCTGTTGGTGAATGGCTTTGGCAGGAATTCCTTTCCTAAACAACTAATTTTATCTGCTTTCTTATTCCTCTCCTTGCAGGCACTGGCTATGGCACCAGTTCAGGCAACATATGCACCACACCTGGATGTGTTACAGCAGGTAATGATTCTTACTATGAATAATTACTGCAGAGGTCAGGATTTACATGCTATTAGTTCTACATAACTTGAATAACAATAGATTGTGCTCTTAAACTGGAGAAATTTGTAAGGAATGAAACTTTCAGTTAGGCTCAAAACACGTTATTATTGTCTCAGGCAGCAAGTATAGCTGTCCTCTTTTCTTTTTCATTGTACACCGTTGCCATTCAGAGGCTCCCTCTGCAAGCAATGTGATCCCAGTGCAAAAGTCCAGAGTCAGACACTTCCCAGCCTCTATAAATTAGAGTAGGATTCTTGGAGTCTTCACAATGAGTCCTATCCAGGATGAGCATTATATGCAAGATACCTTCTTGCCAAGCACTTCCTTGGCAATTTTGGTAATCCGGAGATTATTTGGCACTCTGTGGAACTCAGCTCTCCGATTTTGATGTATAGCTGCTAGAATAATTCAGAATATGGACCCAACAGCTGAACCTTGCAAGGATTTCTACCAGTATGCCTGTGGGGGCTGGCTCAATCGTCATGTTATCCCAGAAACTAGCTCCAGATACAGCATTTTTGACATCCTGAGAGATGAGCTGGAGATCATCTTGAAAGGTAAGAATGAGGTTACACTGTTTGTTTTTATTTGTTTTTTTTTTAATCTATCCTTGATCCTTGATTATAAACTTGTCTTTAGTTGCATATATTATCTTCTCTCTGTACTCTCTACCGCATACTATATAGAGAAATCCTCTAGTCCTTTAATCTCTATATCTTTCTGCATCAATTTTGTGGAAACATGCTGTTCCCACTAAAATATTAGCTATAGGGGCTTGGGTATTAACTTCAGAGGGCGCAGGACAAGCTTTGAGCATGTCCTTCTTCTTAACGCTTTTTTCTGTTAATAGCACTTTTAAAGAGCACTCTGGTTTCACAATGATTGAAGCCTCAGATAACAAGTGTTTATCATAGAGGTGACTGAGAATTCAGAGCTATGGAAAGATGAAAGATCTCCAGGGCAAAATCTCACTGCAATGTTTCTTTCCCCAGGTGTGTTGGAGACTTCAAATCAAGGGGACAGAGAGGCATTTCAGAAAGCTAAAGTACTTTACAGGTCATGCATGAATGAGAGTGAGTCTCTTCTTTTTTCCGTTGGTACTCCTGATTAATATTAAACCTACAGCTCAGGCAAAAATCCAGTGAAATCTGTCTAACCCCCATGGCTTGCCTGGAAGTCTAGTCTTCATTCAGGTGAATGAAGACATGTTGCTACATCTATAAGACTTAGTATGTGCATTCTGGAACACAGGAGGGATTTTGGTTATCTACCTCCAGTAGCAATGCAAAACCCTTTTTTCTGAATGAGGAAATGCTGTCCATTTCATTCTTTCCAAAGCCTTTCAATCTATATCCCTACTGATGTGAGCAGAAGTGTTTTCATTGTTTTTCCAAAGACTAGTACTCTTCAGGAGTAGACAGATGATTTCATGGTATGAAGATTATTCTCTTATACTGTGCTATAAGATTCAGTTGTAGATTTAATATGTTAAAGACAAAAATTATTTTTCTTCATCTTTTTCAATTAAAAAAAATTACAGTGTTTGGCTTTCTTCTCTCAGGTCTTATAGAGCAGCGTGGTTCATTGCCCTTGCTAGAGGTCTTAACGGTGGTTGGAGATTGGCCAGTGGCTTCTGCAGACTGGAATAACACCAAAGGTAATTCCCCCAAAAAGTTCAGTAGTGCTTAGTCAGAATTATTTACTGCACTAACTAGACTGATGTCGTTATATTACATTCTCAGTTTTATTTTTTTCTTGATAAACCAAAGTTCAGGGTATTAGACGTATTTAGCATAGAGTAACCTGTGTAACTAAGATGCTGTAAATTTAATACTTCATTCATGAGCAATGGACATTTTAAGATGCTTTTAGGAAAACTTCATATGGTTTTAGTTTACTTGAGCAATAGGCTCACAGGCTATACAGCTTAGCCAATCCTGATACTTATAGATATTGTATAATGTGTATTTTCTCTTTTATCTCCCAGAGCCAAACTGGAGCATGGAAGAAAAACTCTCTATAATGAACTCCAGATTTAACAAACGTGTCCTGATTGACATGTTTGTATGGAATGATGACCGGGATTCCAACAGACATATCATTTATGTAAGAAAAAAAATACAGGGAATTATTTATGTATTTCAAAATCATATTAGATAGTTTTCTGCACAGCAACAGATTAGCTTTCCATAAATCAGTCAGTATGCACAATACAGACAAAATGTACACAACAATTCATATCCCATGCTACAGATCTGTATCAAATTCATTTTGAGAGACATTATATGGTGGAATAAATTGATTTGATTTTGATTAAATTAATGGACCTTTGCTGATTAACAACATTTTGTGGTTGTAAAGTCTTATGACTTGCAAATGCTGGTGCATTATAATATATAGGAGGACATCATAAGTTTTTAAAATAGGTAAATAAATAATATTTAAGAGGTCATTCATGTATTTCTATGCGTGAAATCCAGCCCTGGAGAGAAAATGCTTGTTTTCTAAGTTGCTCAAAATTATTCTGAGACCTCAGTGATTACTGCAAGATTTGCTTAATGAATCATGCTAAAAAGCCTTCCTGCCCTTATCTAGAAATTCAGAGAGAGGTTGTAGCTTCCGTCTCACCCCAGTTTCTAGAAAGCTAAAATTTTCCTTGATTGTTTGCTAAGTGTGGTCCTTCTGACCAAGAAGTCATGATGCCTTTCGAGGACCCCCTTGACAACACCTCTTCCTGATCAACACTAACTAAAGAATATAATTTCCTTCAGATTGACCAACCTAGTTTAGGAATGCCATCCAGAGACTACTACTTTAATGGAGGCACCTATCAAAGGGTAAGTATTCTTTGTAACTTGTTTACAGCGTTGTGAGATTTAAGTTCAAACTGCTCATCTCTGCCAGCAAAACTGCTGGCAGAAGGGAAAGGTTGTAAATAGCTAGTACTTCGTTACAAACATATCTAGAAAATTTATCAATTTCCAAACTGAAAATACTGTTTTAGTACTTTTTATTTTTCTCAATTACATCATGCTCACCGAGAAGATTTACATCCTAGCATTAAACTAATTTCCTAACATGAAATTTCCTAGTTTCCATTGAGAGACAACAATCAGTATTTCAGACTTTTTTCTTTTCTAGTGGTTGTAAAGATAGATCCAAAAGTCAGTGAAACTAGAGGGAGTCTTTCCACTGACTTCAGTGTGTTTGAATATATTTCCAAATATATTATAGTCTAAAAATAATATAGTCTAAGATATAATGCTCTGAAATTTTCATGGGATTGTGTTTTAACACCTCCTTCTGGCTACCTTTGTAAACTAGCATTTTCTGGGGGTTTTTTGTTGTGAGACAGATTAACAATCTCCACATATCGTTGCATAGGGAACAGCAGAGAGCTGCCCTGTAGTCTGCTGGTAGCTGGTAAAAGTAGGACTGCTCTGCAAGTTTCACTTTTATAGTTATATTTATACAGTATGTGTATACAGTTATATTAGAAAGCAAAGATATTTATGCATGTCTGGATAAAAGTCAGATTTAAAAGACTTCTAGGAAGTAGAAAATCAAGTACAATACATAGAAGATCCTAAATTAGCAGATAGAGCAAAGAGTATTTAATATCATTTAAAGTTGAAGCTATAAAAAAGGAAGGGGGACGCTAAAGATTTGTTTTTAATCTTAATGAATAAAGAGGAGACACAACCCCTTTTTATTTGCTATTTAACAGCTCACTTCCCATAAATAATAAACCAAACTCTGATGACTCTGCACTCCCCCTGTGCTTAGTCCAGCATCTTTTGGCAAAACTCCTACAGTGGCCTGTGGGAGTCTGGCCTGATTAAGGCCTTAGCATTCAGCCTAAAAGCATAAATTATCATCGTGTAACTGCCTGGACTCCATTTCACAACAGTTATTGTGTTTATCTGGTTTCCAAGGCCTATGGAGGAAGAAAGAATAATAGGTAATATTAAGCCTTCCTGTATCAAAAACCTGAACTCCCTCAGCAGCCAAATATCTGCAGCCAAGGTCCATTCTGAGGCATAAATCACAGCTATACCTTCCTATTAGAAATAAAGCAAAGGTATCACTAGGAACCAGAAGAGAAAGCTTTTCTTTCAGACACTGAAAACAAAGGATTTGGAGGATTTATGTTATTACTGTCAGAGAACTTTAAACTTCATTTTTTACCCTGAAGAAGGATCACTATTCCCATAGTATATTTCAAAACACAGAGCCTTCTGTACTTGTTCAAGAAGTAATTTTAAGCCAGAACTCCAGAGGGTTGGACTGCATAGGGAAACAAAGCGTTACTCTCACTACGTATTTAGACACTGACAGCTGCATTATGGTGTGTTCGAGGATCAGCTGAGGTCCTAGGTATTGCAGGAGTATCCAGTATAGTAGAAAAAATATTAAAGGCAAGAAAATGGTGTGGAAAGGGTTGCATTGGAGATAAAGACAAAGGTTGTGCCATATCATTTTTACTGGGCCAAACTTTTCCACAGGACACTGTAAAAGCTAAAATAACATGAACTGACTGCTGAATGAGGATGGACAAACTGTATACTTTTCCTCATGCTGCTAGATGCACAGGTTTGATTTCTTGTGCGTACAGGTCAGAGAAGCTTACCTGCAGTTCATGATCACCATTGCCAAAATGATCCGAGAAGACAAGAATATGCCTAAAGATGATTCTTTTGTCCAAGAGGAAATGACAAAAGTTATGCAGCTTGAAACTGAGATTGCAAATGTGAGTATAGAAATCAAGAATTTGAGATGATGCATGGGGAAAAGAGAGTCTGTCTTGCTCTCTTGTGCAGAACTTTTCAGCTATGGTACCTCCATAATGCAAGGGCCAACTTCCTGGCATCTTCTATTATTGTAGGGTTCTGCAGACTCAGAAAAGCCTCCTCTTCCGTTCCAAAGAGGATAGAGGGAATCTCTTGTCTCGATATGTTAATGAAACTTCATATTGAGTTAATCAGTGGGGCATGACTTTGCTGTACTGAAATGCAGAAAGCAGTATTGGACACCATTAAAAGAACGTTCTTTTCCAAAAGATACTGGTTTATTCTCAGAATTGTTTAAGTATGTATATGTGCATGTACATTCATATGATACCTGCCATTGACACTTATGTCAGTTGATTCCAGTAATAACCTTCTGAATATCTTCAGGCAACTACCCCTGCAGAGGAAAGGCATGATGTGACCTTGTTATACAACAAAATGACTCTAAAAGAGCTACAGGAAAAGTTTTCATTGAATGTAAGTGTTTAATGAGCAGTCCACTACTTCCAGCCTCCTCCTTTCAACCTTATTATCATGACAATTGGAAATGGCTTTGTGAATTCATCACAGTGATGCAACAAAAATGGCTATAAAATCATTTCAATTCTAAATCTTAGAGGAGTTTTAAAAATCATCTTTTTTTTCCTGAACAACACTACAGCTGCAGCATTTGCTGTATTATCTGTCTCTGCACCTAGCAAGAAATCAGAATTCATGAATCCCAAGGGAAAAATAAATGCTTGGAAGTCCTATGTGTAAAAGAAGTGATCTGGATCTTTGGTTCCTAGTGGTTCCAAAAACAAAAAACATGATCAGATTTCACTAATCAATCAGCATAAATTTGAACACAGTAAATTCTTCCAACATGATACTCTTAAGAACAACTGGGCCTTAGTGCTGCTAGAACAATAAGCACAAATGTCTATATGCAGTAGGTTTGCTCTACTCGTATGTAAGCTGTACTGCCAGCAGCAGACAGTACAATCCCAGAGAAGGTGGAAAGCCATGACAGTTATAAAGCACTGACACACCTGGCATCTCTGTATCTGTCTCTTTCTCTGCCTAGGAGTTTAACTGGACCTTCTTCATCCAAGGTGTCATGTCTTCAGTAAGTGTTCATGTCGACCCAGAGGAGGAGGTGGTGGTGTATGGCATGCCCTACCTGCAGGAGCTGAAAGCAATTATCTCAAAGTACTCAGCAAGGTAAAGAAACTGGGGAAGATGTGGGAGGAAAGTCACAGTATTGTGGAAATGTGAATTATTTGGTCCACCTTCTAGTTCTGCCAGGGCTTCTCTGAAAAGAAGTCGTACCATCTCACTGTAAAACAGGTAATACTTCCCTTTCTCCAAAGAGCACTGCAAGAAAAGAACCATTCTTCTCTCCTGAAGTCTCTGGTACTAAACATCTCATCTAGTTTGTACCTGTTTAGATTACATTGGAATAAAAATTAGGGCATAAAGTTTAGCTCTTTTTACGCTCTAGAAGGAGTAAAAAAAAAAAAAAAAAAGGAAAAAAATAAGAAAGTTAGGCCCTGAACAAGCCCCCAGCATGGATGCTTTTGCAGTTAAGCAGCCTGCGCTAAATAACAGCAGACACCTGTAGATGCTATGAAAGTGATAGCTGGCAGCAATTGCCTGCTTTGTCATCTCCACTCAAAATTAAGATTCCTCTCCAACTGTCTGCATTAGAGTTGCTTTTTAAAGGGAGTTTGCTTTTGCTTTTTCACACAGCACCATCCAGAACTACCTAATCTGGCGACTGATAATTGATCGAGTCAGCAGCCTGAGTCAGCGTTTCAAGGATGCTCGGGCCAGCTACAGGAAGGTATCTTTTCTCTTCCTAAAGAGACTCTAGAGCATAGTACTGAAGGAGACTCTCAGTCACCAGTCCAGTCCTTGTCAATACAATGACAAGCATGTAATCCCAAAGCATAAATCTGAGAAAATTGCAATCACTAGAATGGAACCTTTGTCTTAGGTTAGTCTCCTCTTTAGGCAGTGACGTGGCAGAGGAGCTGGAAGGAAGTTGTATAGACAGAATTAATGCTATACTATATATTGTAGGCACTTTACGGGACAACACTGGAAGAAGCCCGCTGGAGGGAGTGTGTGAGTTATGTCAACAACAACATGGAGAATGCAGTGGGAGCATTGTACGTCAGGGAGACGTTCGCGGGTGAGAGTAAGAGGATGGTAGGTAGTTGACCTTTCATGCTATTGTACACTTTTCATCCAGTCCAATCCCCCTGCTCAAGCAAGGTCACATAGAGCAAGTTGCCCAGGACGTTATCCAGATCTTCCAGGATGCTTTTCTGCTTCCTTTACATACACTGAAAATGTGGAGTATTTCCAAAGGCATCTTTATTCAAAGTCATCCCAGATGGCAAAATTCATGGACTCAGCCTGTGGGGTGCACAGTCCACGGAGCTACCTCCCTCATTTCTAAAAGCTTTCTGTTGGGACAGTTCAAAAGAGAAAAGGCAACAACGGGTGAATGGAAATAGATATTGAATAACAATATAACTTTAATATACTCCAAAAACTATTTTTCTCTATTTTGACCAGTATGTTTCTTGCCTCCACCCTAGTACCTCCAGTTAGCATCTCACAAATAAAGGAGTGTCCATCTGCCAGGAGTTACAAGGCATAACACATTTGGGATGCCAATTTAAATGCCAAGTACCCTACTTTAGAACAAAGGATGTGGGGAGATCAGCTTTCAGCATTTCGCCCCCTTAGCTGTATCAGGAGAGAATGGTGTGTGTGTGTGTGTGATTAATCTCTTTCTGCCTCTCTTTTAGGTCCGAGATTTAATAAACAAAATCCGTGAAGTGTTTATTGAGACCCTAGATGAGTTACAGTGGATGGATGAGACATCTAAAGAAAAAGCTCGTGAGAAGGTCAGAGATAGCAAGAAATTTCAGTATTCTGTTGGCAATATGGAATTTTGTAGTATCACTTCCCAGGTTCTCTTCAAATGAGAGAAAAAACATTAAGATTCTATAGTAATTATCCTTTGTTATCCATTATCCTATTAAATTGTCCTTTTTTATTCATTTATAACTCAAACATTTATATTTCCTCTGATTAATCTTTTGAATCAAGTTAGAAATGAGGAGAAAAGATGATACCCAATGCATCAACTAACATGACAACTGAATCCAATCCAGTCTCCCAAAGCAAACTTTTCACTCACTTTAGGATCATCACTGTTGCAAGACAAGAGGCATCAAATGAGGCTTAAGCCCAAGTCCTGTCATATGATGCTTTAGCATCTGCAGGTCTGCCATTGTGGCTGGACTCGCTTGGAGATGAAAGGAAGACTGTATGTTTCATGTAAAAGAATCTTACTGGGCAATAAGGTGCATTTTATCACGATATTTGCATCAAATTCTCACAAAAAAATGGCTGTAAGTAAAGGAGTTTAAACAATTATGTGAAATTTAAAAATTGTACAACTAAGAGGAAACATTAAACTCTCTTTTCCTGTAGGCAATGGCAATTAAAGAACAAATTGGCTTCCCAGATTATATTTTGGAAGATCACAATGAAAAATTAGATCAGGAATATGCTAATGTAAGTATGCTATATGCACCTTAATAAGTGCATATAATAACCATACTGCTTTGCTATTTGAAATAATTATAACTATGTGATTGTCATTTCCAAGTGCCTACAAACTTGATTGTGTTGCATGGTTTATAAGTAAATGCCTGCAAAGCACATTGCCATCAAAATGTTTTTAGAAGATGCATTCAGTGGCAGAAGGAATTCCTCATTCAACACAGCTTACTGTGCTACTGGGCTATCTATTTCTTCTTCAGTTAAACTTCAGTGAGCACAACTACTTTGAAAATATCCTGGAAAACCTGAGAGCTGGTGCCCAAAAGAGCCTGAAGAAACTTCGAGAGAGAGTTGACCAAGACATGTGAGTGTCCAGAATGCACACTACGTAGACATCCTCCTAAATTCTGAAATAATGGTTAATATGTTGAAGTAATATGTTGTTGATAACTGAGAATGCTTATGTTTGCGATCTTTCATTTTTTTTCCCTAAAATTAAACAGTTGCTTGCCTGTAACACTACAGGTTCATCTAGTTCTCTCACTCTAATCCTTCATCAAGCTTCTTCCTATTCAATGCTGCAACAAAGCTACTTAACACAAAAGCAGAGACCAAGAATAAAGAGTTATCTGAAACCAATAGAGTTTCCCAAAGTGACTTACTTTAAACGAAAGTTATTTGTCAAAGTTAAATACTCATTATCTATGAAATATGTGGCTCCAACCATAGACACTTGCAGATTCCTGACTGCAGATCTGCAGTTTTGCAGAATAGCTCAGTGTTTATAAAAAATTCTTGACTAACTTGCATTCAATATTTACTTTTAGATGGATAATTGGAGCTGCAGTGGTCAACGCATTCTATTCCCCCAATCGGAACCAGATAGGTAAGTTTACAATTATTTTAACAGCTGCATGGAACTAAATAATCATTTGTTGTACCACAAGGGCTTGAATCTCCTGTGCAGAGGCAGTCCTGCCTTTGACCTCATGGAAATTCTGAGCAATGTAGACAGGCTTTTCTGTTTGAACAGTTGCTTTGTTGATTAATATTCAACTTCTTTCAACCTGGCGGGCATAGTTCATATCGTGTAATTGAAAAAGCCTTATGTTTGAAGACCTGAGACACTAACAGCTATTGTATGAGTGCCAGCTTCAGGGACTAGTGTGCACTCAGTGTATTCTGAGCTGGATATACTCATGTTTCTACATTCCTGGCAATCATAAGAGCTCCCCGGTTTGCTATTTGTGCAGATAAAACTGAAATTATTTTGGTAAGAGGCACACCAGAGCAAAGAAACCTGCAGGATGCCAGATATGTGTGATTTTGGAGAGCTACTAGCCTGACCACTGTTTTTATGAGGACTGTAATCATCTGTGAGTCAGTTTTCCAGACAGGGAACTCAAGCTTTGAAACTGCTTCTCTCTAGAATTTGGTCTCTACAAGCAGTGCAGAAGCAACTGACAGAAGCTACTTGGATCTGAAAATACAAGCCAAAATCTAAGCACATCTACTCACAGTAGTGTAGATACAGACTAAATTCTAGCGAATATCTCATTAGAATGAAGTGTTAGCATCTAAATTTCTGTGGAAGCTTACTTGCGTTTCATCTTGCTTATATAGGATGAAGGCTAAACTCTATTGACTCTGAGGCTTTCTTTCAGTACATTGAAGGAAGAAAGATTTCTTTCCCTCTTGTCCCACCCAGAGTGGCACAAAAGAGCAGTTGGTAGTTTTTAGGAATTACTGCTGAGCATGTTTTACACACTGCATACTGCTGGTAACCTGCATATGATTGCTAACCTTTATTTAACATAAACAAAATAAGGCAATAAAACATCCATTAGCTCTCCTATAAAATGGCTTTAAAGCACAGACTGTACATATTTCCAGAGGACAGTTACTAAACATTTAGCTCATTAGTCATTTCAGCATACATTATATACCAAATTAGGCTAAAGCTGAAATGCAAACGATAGTTTGTTCTCAAATGGGCAGATACTATAGTTCAGATGCACTGAACTAATGCATTAATAGTTGTCATTGTTTATCAAGAGAGAAACAATTTCACAAATGGAGACATGGTGGTTTCTTTAATAATCTCATATTTTAGGTTCTTTCCTGACCCTTCCTGGCTGCCATAAACCTATCTCACCCCTTTTCTCTCTCTTTTTGCAGTTTTTCCTGCTGGGATTCTACAGCCTCCCTTCTTCAGCAAACATCAACCACAAGCACTAAACTTTGGTGGGATAGGGATGGTTATTGGGCATGAAATTACTCATGGCTTTGATGACAACGGTGAGAAGATATCTAAGGAAATAATTCCTTTTACAATTGCACCTGTTACTCTGTAGGAAATTAAATTTACACACTGCTGTGAAGGAAGTATACATGCACACATGTACATATATGCCAAATAAGTCACTACTGGGGACTAACACTGAGAAAACACCAGAACTTTGCTTCTAGCTTTCTTCTCTTATAGCAAAGTTGTTAATTTTCTATGATCCTCAGTTTTCTTACATGGACACAGAGAATAAGTACCTTAGACACTTAAGAGGAGCTAGAATTTTATTATATGATGTTTGTATAATCTAATTAAAACTACATCTAAGTCTTAGTGCTGTAACTGAAGTTCAGACTGCTGACTGAACAGGAAATGATAGAAATCTAGAGCAGCAATGAAAGGACCCCAAGTGATCTAGTCTGTTCCTTTGTCCTGTGGCGATATCAACCTTCCCAAAAACGTTTCTGATGAAGTTCTGGAGCACAGACAATGCAAGAGGTATATTAAATCAAGTAAATCAAAGGAGGAAAGAGTAAAAAAAAGAGTGGGAGGAAGTGTAGCTCCAATATTAAAAAGAAACAGATGCTACTGTAGAAGAGTGCTTGCTCAGATTCCTTTGGAGACTGTGCTGTCATTCAAAGCTTTCCATTTTTCTTGGTTTTATGTACAGGTCGGAATTTTGATAAAGATGGAAATATGTTTGACTGGTGGAGCAACTTCTCAGCTATGCATTTCAAGGAGCAGTCTCGTTGCATGGTTTATCAGTATGGGAACTACACATGGGAGCTGGCTGGAGGAGAAAATGTAAGCAGAGCCCTCAGAAACTGTACTGCTTAGAACATTGAGAGGGAACGGAAGCTGTTGTTGGTTTGAAAGCAATAGGGCTTCAAGCACTTGGTTCAAATTCTGAGGAGAAAACCCGGAAGCATTTTGTGGTAGGAAATAATATCCTCAGTCCTGCTAGCATATATTCTTCACAGCAGCCTGCACTCTGTTTATGCTATATTCATAGCAAAATTTCTATTCTAATCTACAGCTTTAAAGCTAGTTATTATTACTTTCATTCTCTGTTTTCTTTAACCTAGCCCAAAGTCACTGTTGCCTTCTGTTCCATACATGACTGTGTATCTGTAATTTGTGATTGTGTAATTTATGATTGTGGATAAATGAAGTTACTGATTGTAGACTAAATGATTATTCTGTTACAGGTCAGTGGAATAAGCACATTAGGAGAAAATATTGCAGATAATGGAGGAGTCCGACAGGCTTATAAGGTACCTTTCAAATATATTATGAGTAAATTTTTCCCTGTATTCAGCAGGGGGTCATCTGTGCATCATAGATCATTAATATGGTTTTGATCCTGTGCATCATTAATATGTTATTACCATATTCAAAGAATTAAAGCCTCTGTTGTATATCTGGAGTCCTCGTGCATCCATAGAACGGAATTATTGCATTCATGAATTCCAGAGAAGACCACCTAATTCTCCCAGCTCTGGTTTTGCTGTTGCACAATGCTTTATGCATGATGTTCAGACAGCCTACAGTGTTATGGAGGAGCAAATGTAAAAGACTCTCCATTTCTGAAAACCTGTGATCCTGAAAATGGGAGCTACAGCTTCAAACAGCCTTTCAGATGGCAACAGAATAGTGGCTCCTTGGCAACAGTTTGCTGATGTTATGAAGCAAAGCAGCTGGTTTTTTCCAAGTTTACTTCTGTCGTGCTTTTCATCTCTGATCTGAAAAGTGACATGTAAGGTAGGACATGAAAAGAACTGATGGATATATCATTTCCTCAAGGGGGATACAAATCATATCTACCAAAAAATTGCCTCTGAAAGCCTCGCTCCTTTTATTGCTTTCTTGGGTCTTATAAACTATAGGAAAATAGTTTGCTTCTATTTATTTCCATGCAGCTAGTAAGTAGAATATAAATGCAAGGACCAATAATCTCAGTAGTGCTGCTTCTTTCCAAGGTGAAAGGTTGTTTCAGCTAGTCAGTTATTTTCAAAACAGGAGAAATGCTATCGATATTTCAGTACAGTACTGCCGTGCTGCAAGTTCAAAAACTGTGGTGTCCATCTTGATGTTATCTTTTAAAAACACTATTCTATGTCATCTTATTTCTTTTGCTATAACAGGAAAGTCACCTTCCAGCCTCAGGGAAGTCTCTTTAGTCCTCCAGGCTTAGAAACCCTCACTCTAGATAAGAACAGAGTATTTATCAACAGGAAGGCTCTTTACGTGTGAGCTAAGGTGTGAGCATGGAATGTTCTTTTCTCTGAATAGTTCTAATAGTTGTTATGGTAAAAATTTTTCCTCTGATGTTTTGAATATGAGAACAGTTAAGGGTGTTTATAGAAGAACAACCTTAATTTTCAGAAATCTAGAATGACAATTCTGACTCTGATGGATACCATTAAAATTAATTACTTTTTTTCAAGTGAATACTTACTTGGCTCTAAAACATATTACAAATATGGAAAAGTATTGTGGTATGACATAAATAACCTGAATACATAATCCTCCGAGCTTCTATGTCATTGAATGTATTTTTACCCTTACCTCAATCTTTCCTATGTTTTGTGTGCTTTGGGACTATCTCAGGAACAGAGAGGATAAGGTAATAAAACATTTGAAATTAACAGCATGAGGACACATTAACTTGTCTCCATTATGTCAATATTCCTAAAAAAAAGAAAATTGGCCAATTAATGTCTAACGATAACGGGTAATGGTTTTAACTTTGAGCAAGGTTATTATGAGCTATTTTATCAGCAGTTACCTGAAGAGATAAAAATCATCACCATAAAAGCATGGAGAACACTTAACACTTTACTTCCAGAAACAAATTCTTACAGTCAAAAAATCCTATCTAGCCTGATGATTTTTCTTCAAGCTGCAATCACAGGCATTCAATTTCAGTTATTGTATTGATCTAATACTTCAAGACAGTAATCATCAACAGCACTCATGCTTTGTTGTGCTTGCTTGCTGAGACACAGTACCAAACCAAAGGTCCATCAGAGTGCTTGTATCTTCTATTAAAAACAGAAAAAAATGTGTATGCCACCTTTCTACAGAAATTCAGAATAGATCTCCAAGTGACTCCCTAAAGAACACAAGTAGATACTTGCACTGGTGGTCCACTGGTCAATAACAACTACAGATCTAAACCTCCCCTTTCACTTTAGATTTAGGTTTTTTATTTTTTGAACAGCTTTTAGTTCAGAGAGTGGTAAAAAACATGTTAGGTTCAGGCACCTTGTAACTGGAATTTCTTACCTCAAAAATAGCATTCAAGAATATATAATGTCTGAAGCAGCAGGCCTGCTGCTCTTCTGATTTGACTTTCTAATCATATCTAGGCCTATCTGAAATGGCTTGAACGGGAAGGGATGGAGCCAGAGCTGCCTGGACTGAATCTGTCCCACAAACAGCTTTTCTTCCTCAACTTTGCCCAGGTGAGAACACAGAGATACCCAGCACATGCTGCATGAAAGTATAAATTAGATTATCCTAAAGGTTAGGGAGAAAATCATAGTCTTCAACTCCACTGAGTAAGGTATTCATCATCATCAGTACTCATCAAAACATCTGCAAGACAGATGTGAAAGAGAGTTTAGTGATTAGAGGAAAGATTTTTCAGTAACTTGTCTGAGGGCATTAGTGGAACCTGATGGAACGAGGATACAGGAAAAGCAGGACACCTAGCAACCTGTCAGACAACATACGGGGAGCATCAGCTTTCGAGGGCCTGTCATTTAATTGGTTTGAATTCCCTTTAATACTGACCCTCAGATTATTAATCCTTCTTGTCTAGGTTTGGTGTGGTTCCTACAGACCAGAATATGCTAGCCAGTCAATAAAGACAGATGTTCACAGTCCTCTGAAATACAGGTGGGTTTTACTAACTGATGACATTGCTTGGTTCAACCCATTGCACCAATATACTGCAAAAGGAGAGAGTGGCTCATCTCTTAGCAGCTTTGTTTTAACAGGCAAGATAAAACTAGAATAACTTTCAGAATTTCTGCATTAACTTCCAGGAAACTACGGAAGTGTACGTTCCTTTACTGGCCCTAGTGAATTGGCCAAACACAGGGAATGCACCAGAATCCACTTAATAGGCTGGCTGTTCTAGAATTTTATTAGTCGTATTAGCTATGTTCTCCTTGCGTAGAGGTTGAAGGTTCCTTACTCTGAGACTGTAATAGAAGTATCTGTTTCTAATTCACTTGGTGAATTATATTATAAAATATATATTATATATATATATATATATATATAATAAATTACATTATATATTACGTACTGTTTTCCAGAGCAATGGTCTCCATGCATCCATGCAAATAAGTTCCTTCTCTTTGTTTAGGGTGATGGGTTCTTTGCAGAACTTTGAGGCCTTCTCGGAGGCGTTCCACTGTAAAAAGGGTACAACCATGCATCCTGCGGAGAAATGTAGAGTGTGGTAGCCAAACAGAAACCTGGTAAGAATGACAAATACTCTGGCGATAAAATATGCCAACGATGTGCCTGATGTTCTCCCGCTCAGTCACAGCCAAGGCTAATGGTGCAGCTACTGTGGTGACAATCACAGCACCAGTGGCACGGAAGCTCTTACGGTTCCGCTGGGAAATACTGCACATATCTCAGTGACTGATGGGCTGTGCTGAGAAGCCAGGTGTGCTCCAGAGCAAATATGACTGTTTCAAATGACATCCCGACTGTTACTATGTTACTGCATCAGGGCTAGTTATTCAAAAACAGGCAGACAGAAACAACTATCTGTATACAAACAAGTATATATCTATTTTTCAGCAAGAAACACTAATTTTAATGTGTCTTTCAGTTACATCTTCTGAGACTCAGCAAACCTGTTTGAGGGGTTTCACCAAACTATTTTTCAGTAGTCTGGTTCAGTTTCTGGTGCTTTTTCTGAAATTCAGGCCAGAGGTAAAATAAATTCTTGTGCTGTCCATGTAACACTGTCCACTTGCACTTTGGTTACTGCTTTGTTGTAAGATTGCTATTTGTCTTGATACTTTACAAAGTGAGCTCATGTTAGAATGCCTGCCAGCTGCTGACCTAACACAAGGCTGCACTCTTCTACTACACTTGAGTTCTGCTCCAGAGAGCAAGTGTAACATGACCTAGAAGTGAGGTAGAAAGACCACATTTTTTAAAGTATAAATTCTATTGTTACAGTTAAAATTACAGGGTCCCTCCATTTAGAGACATATTGAAGATGAAGTGTATTCTTGTAGAAGCATATGATAGACTTTTTGCCAAAGAGCAAACGTATCCATAGAAACAACTACCCTATTTTTAAACTTGTGCCTTTTCATTTTGCCATAGGCTGTTTTTTCAATATTTACACTTGAAAATATAACACATATTTAATTTTTAAAAATCATGGTTGCCAATTCAGCAAGCATTTTACTATAGAAAATTTTGTGAAGAAAGCCACTTCAGTAAGTGCTCTAACATAATGATGTTATTTTAAACTGCCAGTCCTTAATAGTGGATTTTAAATATTCTTCTTGCAAATGCTTTTCTTTCTAGAACATAAATCCCTGGAAAGCAGGGTGATCACTACTAGTGCTTAGCTTACAAAGTACCAAATCACATTCAATTGTTTTAAGTTTTTAGTTACTGCACCCTAACAAAACATTTAATTATCTAAATACCATGGAAGGAAATAAAACTCATTTAATTGTAATAATTTGGTCCATAAGAGAAGACTCACTGATTCTGACCATTTGAAAGTAAGAGCTGAATGAAGCCCTCATAGTTTTGCATGAATATTAATTTTACCTGTTAAAATGAAATCAATCATTTGCTGCTGGTGAGAATATGTAGTTGATTTATGTTTGATTTCTATTTTAGAAATCATCTTAGAAGATTATTTTCTCAAGGAATTGGCACTACCTCAGGGATTAACCTTTCTTCCAGGCCCTTCAAAGTGATATTTAGAAGAGAAACTAAATAGTAACATAGGGTTTATTTGCAAGTTTATTGAATGCTCATTTAATCTCCACAAAAGATTCAGAACAGACTGTTCAGCACCCACCAATAGAGCTGTCTATTGCGAACAAATATTACACAAAGCACAGACATAATTTGGCCTTCACCTCCATTAACAGTAATATAGAAACTCCTTCAAATCTCTTTGTTTCTGTGGTGCACCTCAGATAACTGTATCCACGGAGCTCCTCAAAGGAATGCTGCCTTCTGAATTACACTTTGTTTTTTTGTTCTTTTCAGCTAGGTCTATTAGCTGAGGGGACCTGCACTTGACCACCTTAATTCAAGCAAAGATCCAGAATCAAGGCAGATAAGTGGGAGGAAAGAATACTTTTTCAGACAGGAGTTGCTGTAAGTGCCTCATGACCTTAGAACAACTGATCTGCACTAAAAACAAACAAACAAAAAGAAATTAGTATGAAAGTGCACTATCAAGCTCCAAGAGCCCTCTTAAAAAAATCTACACTAGAATTAATACAGAACTTGGCACATAGGTGTCCTGCTTAACCCTCCATATAGTTTCAAGGGCCTCATATGTTAAAAACTGCGATTCTGCTGAGCCCCAGCAGATGCATAAGTTGATGCTGGATAGTAGGATAAGGAAGTGTGCATTCCTGGTACTTCTACTCAGTACTGGTTTAGGAAATGAAAACCCCAAAATTCACAGTAGCTGCACTTTAGTTACTGCTTGTCTTTTTTTTTTTTTTTTTTAAGTTCCAGTTCTCTCTAATATTCCCATCAAAGTCATTTAAGTCAGATTATTTAAGGATGCTAGCAAAACAAACAGGAGATGCAACAGTTTCATGCAATATCATAGTTTATACTAAAATTTTAGGAAGCTATTACAAGTGAAAAGGCTGGTTTAGGAGCTAACAGACTTGGTAAAACACTAATGGACAGTAAGTAATTTAAAAGAGATCTGGAGAGAATTAGGAAGATCAAGTTCTGTGCTATAGGATCTTTGCATCTGGATGTTCAAGAAGGGTCCCTTTTGTTTTTTATTCACTTGAAAAGTGTTTTTGCTCTTTAATTAACCCACTGTGCCTATTCCATGCATTGTAAAATTGATTGGCATACAGACTAGGTTTGCCTTTGCTCCTGGATTGGATTATACATGCACTAAGGTAGGAACTTTATACTTCAAGTGTTTTCTATCTCTACAACACTCAATGAGATCTGCTGCCCAAATTTTATTCTGGCCATAAGTAAGGTTCACCTTTCTCATCACACCTGAAACTGATGCTCACAAAAAGATTATTTGGCTACTGTGTCCGAGTTGAAAGAGTTCAATTTTTTAAAAAACTAGATGATTGGTTATAAGAGAGTGAACTGCTCTGATAAATCAGCTTCTACTATTTAATAATTTGTGTATGGTGGCAGGCAAAATAAAGTGTATTTAACCGCTGTGTTTTGTCTATCTTCACTAGCTTTGCCTCACTTCACTATCTTCACTTATCCAGATTTTCCATGCTTAATTACTTGAATGTGGAATTTACTTACACTGTGTGCACACAAGTAATATAAGACCATTTTCCCTTGTGTATCTGATATTTTCATATGGCTCTTCCACGAAACTAGGTTGGTTAAAGTGTGCATAATCCTTAGCTGAAAGGAGAAGCTCTTGCTTCTCTCTGTGCCAAGCAGCAGAAAGCACACAGAGCTGTGCAGAGGTCAGGGGAGGAGGTTCGCAAGGTTGGTAAGTTAATTACTCTGCAAAATCCCTAAGCTCTGGAGATGTGCCATTTAGAACAATTGCTGAAGGGATAATTAGAATGTGCCAGGGAGGTTTTGTTCCAGTTCATCATTACAGCACATGGAAGTTACTTATTTTATCATGCTAGTTTACTAAGCCTCCCACCTGCAGGAGAATCTTCCCATCTGTCTCTTTGTGTCTGTGCCAGCACACTGCAAGTGCCTAAGCTAAAGTCTCCCTTTAAAGTCCTCCAGGTGCCTTTCTACTTTATCCCCATACCTCCCCTCCACAGTTCAAGCCCTCTACCTCCTGCTGGCGCTAGTGACTTGATGAAACCTGAACAGAGATAACCTCACCGTCCATTTAAATACCGCTACCGCGTTTTCCAGAATAACAGGAAACCGAGTATTTCCTTCTCCACGCTGCCACCTGGTGGCATAAAAAGACTACCAAAACATACAGCAACTTTTTCAGACCTCAGATATATCGAAGACGCACGTTTGCCTCAGCTGTGGTACCTGCTAGTGACGGAGAGACAGTTACAGCGTGAATGCAGCGAGCAGGGGAGAGCGCCGGGGAGGCAACCAGGCAGCCCAGAGGCCAGCAGCCTGCCAGCACGCTTGCAACACCTGTAAAAGCTTTACATATGTCTAGCACCTTCCACTTGAGGTTTATAGAGTGATTTACAAACTCTGATTAACCCGAGGTGAAAATTAACAGATCTGGATTATGCAAAGATGAACAGCAATGAAATTTCAGACCCGTATACCACCATATTCTGAGTGAGATCTGTGCCAGCCAAAAAGCCAAGCATCCTGTCAGAAATGTTACTGCCAGGTAATGAATTTCACGATTTGCATTTAAGGAAGAAAACAAGCTACATGTCAGCAGCAAGGTGCAGAGTAACACCTGCTACGTGTGAGCTAGCAGCGGTACTGCAAGTTGCAAAGCTGTAAGAGCTGAAGTCTGTTCAAAGCCACACATATCAACAATTCAGCTGCCAAAGCAGGATGCTACGCAGCCAGAGTAGGTCTTTCATAGTGAGGAAAGTTATAAAAAGATGAAAAACAGCCTGTACTTACCCAATGATTGGCAAGTAGCCACAGACAGGGGCTGAAATTTTCTTGCCATTGTTTTCTGAACTCCTCCTCTTTGGGGTTTTGAGTTTGTTTGACAGTCTGCTAAATCAACTTTTCCCTCAGCAATGGAAGTAGCGCTTCATACACATGCGTTACAGAGGAACAACTAGTGGTTAACAGTACATTCAACAGTAAGCCCAATGGTGGAAAATATTCAGCCCTGTAAAACAGAAACCAGCTACAAAAGAAGTAATTTAGAGAAACAAAGATAAAAAAACACGTTTGCCCGATGAATAACCTTACTATTCATTGTGACCTATCCAGTAAGTTATCACATACCTGCCGCTAAGTTGGTAAAACATAATAGGAAACTAAGAACGCATTTGTCAGAAGCTCCAGACTCAAAAATGCAGCAGTCAGGGCTAGTCGAGTTCTTACTATACAGCTTGCAGCATCGTCCAGGAATCAATGAACCTCTGTCCTTTCTGCTTTTAGTCATCTTCAGAGCTTTAACATCGGAACTGTTAATGCCATAGCTGTTCTTTCTTATGTAAAATAGATGGGAGTAAAAGAAATGGTGGACAGTTCACACTTCCATGATTACTGCAAGGCAAAGGCTAGCATGAACATGACTTTTATTGGACCTTAAAAAAAAGCCTTAAAGGAAAAACAGTGAGACTTTCTTGTTAAGAACTTTATTTCTAGACATAATGGTAATGTGAGACCTTAAGCTTTTTTGCTGTGACATACAATCATAGATTTGAGCAGAGATGCCTAGCAAAAGACAGTAA